CCCGAGTCCGGATAGCTCGGTTACTAAATTATCCACTCACAAAAATACTGCAAACATATTGGGGATCGTTCCTTAGGTCTGGAGGTTCGTTTTCATATATAGTGGGCGAAAAAAGAGCTAAAACGAGTCGCTGGGCTGCTGAGGCTCTGTTAAAGTCGCGAGTCGCGACTTTTCTCTCGCGAGTCGCGACTAAATCTCGCGACTCGCGACTTTGTGCTCGCGACTCGCGAGATTCTGGGCTGCACTGCGCCATTTTGCGTTTTCGCCTCGTTTGAGCTCGTCCGAACTCGGAATTGAGTTCCATTTTTTCCTTTGCGTCGCTAACGAACCCCTCTATCCAGTTATGCTCTTGAAACCAACTTTTCCTGCAGAAAAAATTCGCCCAAATCTTTCGACCTACACACCAAAAACGACAAAACACAAAGGAAAACCGGAAAAACAAACAAAAAATACCTAATGACTCAAAATGAAGGAAAACACATAATAAAACACGAAACGGACTAAAAACTAAAAAAAGACCTAAAATGGGGGAAAAAGAAAGATAAAATAAATACGAAAAACGCAACAAAAATGGGACAAACAATTTGGTCAAATAATGAATATATGACACGTAACCTGAAGTTACGAGATGGTTTGATCAAAGAATGACATAAGATGATTATGAAAGAATGAAATAAGTGTCATATTAAAGTGATGAAGCTAGTAATATACTCAACTGATATGATGAACTTTTGGAAGAAAAATGTGCACATTACAAGTGATATGAGTTCAAAGTCCTCCTATTATATGGTGAAATCGAGAACGAAATGGAGACTGCATGTACTCCCCTCAAGAAATTTCATACTGAAAATAGAGATCAGGGATCTGTTGAGATGAGGGGGAGAATCAATTGTTCAAATTTGGAAAATGATATATGCATCACACTGAAAAAGTGAAAATTATAAACTGAATAATACTGATGGTGGTGAAATATATGAAATAATATGATGGTTGAATAATACGCTGAAAGCGATGGCATTGTGCAAATTGAAATTCCCCAAATAAGTGATGAAATGAGGCATATTTATACTATTGATGAATTCAAATGATAATGAGATATCTCAATATATTACTGAGAATAATGGAAATGAATCTGTGTTGACACAAATAAATGAATAGCGCTATATCAATGATATTGATGAGAATCAAATCAGCTGAAATGTGAAAATTGGAAACTATTGGCAGTAAGATCATTGAATTCAATTGATGATGAGAATGAGTTTAAGAATAAAAGTTGCACAAAGCATGATATGACATATTATCATGAATACCACCAGTATCTGAAAATCTGAATGAATCTATATGATATTCATGAAAATTATAGAACGATTATTATGGTGAATATATGGAATATGCGTTCTACTCTTTTTCCCTTGGCTGAGGTTTTGTCCCATTGGGTTTTCCCAACAAGGTTTTTGATGAGGCAACATGGTTGGCTTATTCACATGGATAGTGTACTCTTTTTTCTTCATTAGGATTTTGTTCCACTGGGTTTTCTCTAATAAGGTTTTAACGAGGCATATTCATGGTATATGACTACAGGATATATGATATGATTCCTCATGACGATGAGAAAAGACTGGAGTAGCTGTACTTTTTTTTTTCCTTCGATCAAGTTTTTTCCCCACTGAGTTTTCTTGACAAGGTTTTAACGAGGCAGCACATGGATACTCCATTAAAGATGATCTATTTGAGGGGGAGCGATGTTGTGCTTTCACAATGCTCAAGTTTTGTCCCACCGGGTTTTCCTGATATGCTAAAGCAACAGTACCTGATGGCCACAATATATACTTAAAGATGTGCAGATTGGGCTTTGTTCAAATAGTGATTCAGAAATGTTTAGAAAATAGTCATTCAAGGGGGAGTATTATAAATATATATGGTCCACCACCATTAATGTTATTATAAAATAATATATGTGAATGACTATTTTACTCCCGATGTAATTGTATTATTACGGTTGTGCCATCAGAAGTTTCCTATAAATAAGAGTTTCAGTTATAATGAAAATTGTACCTAAGAGAATACATTTTTTCTATTGCCTCCATTTCTCTTTAGTTTTATAGCAATTAACAATTATTGAGCAACTTTTGACCTTTGGAGCCAACGAAAATAATAATAATAATAATAATAATAATAATAATAATAATAATAATAATTATAATAATAATAATAATAATAATAAAAGAGAAAAAAAAATAAAAGAAAAAAAAACATTAATGGCCCTTGAAGCCCTTTCTTCAAACGAGCTCTTGGACCTCATCATGTACGGTTCGAACATGGGCCCATTTAACAGCGGGCCCTCCGTGGACCCACAGCCGAAAACCACCGCTGCCCCAGAGCTGCCGGCCGGCTGGAGAAAGCGGCGGCGGCGGGCGAGGCCGTGCAAGAACAAAGAAGAGGTGGAGACGCAAAGAATGACGCACATTGCAAAGAATGAGTACACATCTTGACCGTATGATTTTGTTGGCATGACGCGCGTGAGCTTGCAGATCATGAGTTTTTGATAAAATGTAACTGAAAAATTCATGATTTTTTATTTTTGTTTTTTTATTTTTAATAAAATGCATCTGCAATTTACAAAAACTCATAATTTGCAATCTCGAGTACTTTTTGATCATGCATTTGTATTTGAGGCTGCAAATCATGGATTTTCTGTAATAATATTGGTAAGTAGTCTCATCGATCACAAAATGAAATATAGTCAATTTACGTGGAAGTAAGAAATATTTTCATTTTGTCTTGTGAAATGACACAATTATCCTTATTATCAGAAATCGTTTACGAAAAAATCTAAGACTCCATAATTGTTTATCAGAAACCGTTTATGAGAAATCATTCATTGAAATCAAAATTGTGACTATATTTGATTTTGAAAAGTGAAAAAATATTTTAGAAAAAAAGGTGGGGGACTATTTTTTAATATAGTTTCACACGAACTATTTTGACATGAAATGATTTGATAATTGATGTTGTAATATAGGGAGAGTTACAGTCACATTACGGTTTGTAACAGTTAGATCATCATATAATCGTCGGAGATAGTTGATATAACGGTTACAAACCTACGGAAACATAGCATTTCTATGTAATATAATATGGTAATAATTCATTTGGATATGATTATTATGACTGGAAAAACCAGCAAATGAAAGTAGTTTGCCAAATGACGCAAGAGGAACTTCGGCTGACTAATGGGCATGGAGGATGGATTCGATGCTACAGGTGGGGGCATGACACACCCATGTGGGTTGTTGTGTACAAATTATTTTTATTTTACCGAGCACCGAATCAAATGATTCGTTTCCCGGGTCGTTCTCTTGAGGAAGACTATTCGGAATTTAGAATTGATATTGATAGCACTTAAAAACAAAATAAATCCTAAACATTCTAATCAAGATAGATTGATAATAATTCATTATTAACTATAAATAATATAAAACAACTAAAATGATAAATGAAGAAAATGCGAAAGATACTAGGGAATCGGGAATAAATGTTTTGAATCGAAATGCAATTATCGACTTGTGATTGTTCGGTTAAAGAATTCGAGTCACCTACACGTTTAGAGATTTATCCTCAATACCTTTTGGATTATGAGAATAAATATAAACGGTAAATTAACGAGTTGTTTAACACATAGACAATACCTTTCGGATTATGTCTATTTTGTATGAGTCTCGATCGAGTGACATCTTCCCTTTCGGTTCAAGATTCAATTAAAATAGACTATAGGATTTTTAGTCGTCTAGTCTATTCGGATAGTGATCGTCACAATAGAACACATCATATTCAATTTGAAAACAAGTTTAACATTGAAGTGTCACTCTTCAATACTTAGAAATCAATTGCAAGGTTGAATTGTCACTTTTCAACAATATGTCATTCTAAAGTAAAAATCAAAAACCGAATTTAGAATTAACTCATACAAAGTGAACAATCGACGAGTACGATAATCACATACGAAATCAAATATTCATCCCTATCCCTAGCAAATTATTTAGCTATTCATATAAAAAAAATAAACTCAACATAAGATTCATTGCAAATTATCATTACAAGAAAAACAACTTACAAGTAATCCAAGTCGAGAAATAAAGTTGATACAAACGCCAAACCGAAAACAAATGCACACCACACCGGAACAAGTACAAGCCTTGGAGAACACCTCCAAAATTCACAACCAAAAGAGAAACTAATCTAAGACAACATATAAGAATGATGGTAGTGGTGAGGATGATAATATTTTGGATTGTGAGGGATAGATGTTGGTTAGATGATGGAGCTATTTATAGATATATCATCAACCATAATCCACCAACATCAACCACAATTTACCAACAATAACCACAATTCAACTAAAAATCAACCAAAATTCATCTACCAAAGAAAGAATGGAAGAAAAGGTGAAAGAAGATAGGAAATTTGAGATAAAAGATGGAATTTTGGACCAAAACCGAAAGTGATTTTTCGCGCGCATTCGCGCACGTCTCGGGCAGCTCTGCTTCTCGGGCTTGTTTTGGGCTCGTCCGAACTCGGAATTGAATTCCGTTTTTTCCTACGCGTAGCTAATGAACCCCTCTATCCAATGATGCTTGCAAACCACACTTTTGCCTAGAGTAAAAATTATGTGGAATTTTCAACCTTTAAAGGGTCGGTAACTTCCGGATTCATCCAAACTCGAAATCAACTTCCGTTTTTTTTCTATGTGTAGCCAACGAGTCCATCTACATAACCATGATTGCCCGGTCTATAATCAACTCCTCACGAGACTTCCGACATGCACACCAAAAATAAAGAAAAACCGGAAAAACACACGAAAAACACAAAGAAAACCAAAATAGAACAAAACACATAATAAAACACAAAACGAACTAAAAACTCACGAAATAACCTAAAATGAAGAAAAAGAGGGGAAAAGAAGAACAAAAATATAGTGAAAAATGCAACAAAAATGGCTACAACATGGGTGTGTGTCTATGTGTGTGTAAATCAAGGGTGGTGGGGGCATGACTGCACTGCCCCCACCTGTAGCATCGAATCCTCCTGGCATGGAGAAAATATTGTCACAAGCCGATCAAAGTTTCTCCATTTCCAAGGTTGACATTTTACTTATTTCTCGCATTAATTAATTAATATATTCAACTATATCTGTCTTTTTTTTTATTTAGCATTTTTAGGTCAAATTGAGCCAGAATAATTTCTTATGTATACTTTATCTTTGACTATTCAATTTGGGAGTCTTGTCTTATTATAATTGGTTAATTCTACAATTTAATTATATTTAATTTCTTTTAGAATTTGTCTTTTAATTTATTTTAGTTTTCACTGGAAGCTACTATATTGCTGCACACGACTATAATATGGAAAAAATATATTATTCCAAAATTTTGGACAAAAAAATTGCCTCATAACAAGGCTTTTTTTTTTTATCCTTTTTTCTTTATCCCCATTTTACCTTTTTGAAAACCAAAAACTATTACGCCTATCGTTTTGGAAAAAAAAAAAAAAAAACCAGAAACTACTACAGATGCAGTACATCCAAAGGCTGCGCTGCCCGAAAACAGGTGGAGCGCAGCCCAAACGACCCAGGAATCTTCCTCGTCTCCTACACCGGCGAACACACCCACCCACGGCCGTCTCACCGGAGCTCCCTGGCTGGAAGCACCCGCAGCAAGCTCTCGTCTCCGCCTTCCGCCGTCGGGAAAGGCGACTACCGGCTCCTACGCGGCTGCGGCGGCGGCCACCAGCACAAGGGACTGGTGAATATCTCCTCATCTTCCTCGTCTCAGGCGGGCTTCTCGCCGGCCGATCTGGTGAATGATGACGTGGCCGAGAAGAAGGAGGCTGCCGCCGCCGGGGATGACGTGGATATTTTTATGACGAGCCCGTTGTGCGCGAACGACGACGATGTGTTCAGAGGGTTTCGTGATTCGGACGACCACTCTAGCCGCGGCGGTGTTGGCAGTGGGGATCCGTTTTCCGGCGGTTTGCTGACGTCTCCGCCGTGGACGCCGACGAGCTCGGCCAACTTTCACAGCGGCGGCTTGTGAGTGGTGGCTTTCTTTCAAAGAGTATATATCAAGTGTCAAATTAATTAATTTATCCATATATACATATATATATATATATATATTAATATAAATTGTGAATTTATGCATAGAATATAATTAGAGCTGTCTAGTTTAAACCGTGCAAAACATTGTTGAGTGCTATAATCAAATGTAGACTGGCAAACAAATTATTCTTTTACACATATCTTTGAGTTAAATAGCCCAACAATTTCAATAAGAGAAGAGAGGCGTGATAATAATAATTCATATATAAGTATAATTTATTTTGAAAAACTATATAATATGTTTTAATATAAATATTGTGGAATTGTTTACGACCTATAAACAATCTCGGTGAATAAAATTGAGGTACGACTTATGAGTATTGATTTGGGCAATTTGGATCCTCGTGTACAATAAATTTGTTATTCAAGTATTGATTTGGGCAATTTGGATCCTCGTGTACAATAAATTTGATATGAAGTAAGAATATTACTGACAAATATATGTATATGGTTGAATTTACATGAGAATTATGTTTAGTGAAAGAATGAGAATAAATCGTAATCATTAGATCAGATGATCTAATGGCTAAAAAAAGTCAAAATTATACCTTCATTAAGAGTAATTTATTATTTTTCAACACCAAAATAGTGGGACCCACGCCATCACACAACCACTTGCCCACTTACCCACCTGCCACCTAGCTCTCTCTCTCTCTCTCTCTCTCTCTCTCTCTCTCTCACGCCAAATCACCCACCAACACACACACACACACACACCAAGACTTGCCATGAACCTCACCTTATGCTCAGGGTGCAGAGTTCGAATCTTGGGGAGGGCAAAAACCACACTGAATCCAAAAATGGGTTTTCACCCTAGGGCAAGAGCACTGTGGAAGTTCATGAATCCCCGGTGCATGGTCATGGCCCACCGGGAGTCCAACCCCCTAGGTGGAGAAAGCTGACAATTACGATCGTCAAACAATCTATGCAATGTTTTATATATAAGTATAATAATCAATAATTATAATGTTCATTTACACTAGTGATCACATTTTTAAAATGTGATATATGCACTAACATAAAATTTTAAATATAATATCTATAAATATGTTTTATAATATTTTATTTTCATTTGTGCATGTGCACATGATCGAGTACTAGTTGAAATGAATAAAGACTATAAAATCATTATGTGATTTAGAATGATAACTAGTATTGTACCTTATGTATTACGATAAGATTGTTGTTAGACGAACTTAATCATTGCACATTTTTATCTTTATTTTTAAATATATATACTTTCAAACATAAGTCAACTGAATATATTCCAACCTCATGCCTTCCGAACACCTATATATCATAAACATTAATGTTCCAATATATTGTACACTTTAGAATGAACGGTGAATAAACAACCTCAATCCAGTCCAACGTAGCTTACACCGTTGGAATTACATACAAAACAAGGTAGGGGTTGTCCTGACGTAGAAATAGTTTGTTAGTATTCTCTTAGTTATGACCTCTTGCTACTATTTAAACAAAATGCCGTCACCTATTGCTTATAAATTCATAGAAGCCAAAAGTTTGGCCAAACATCGGAGAGTGCGTTCTGGGTTAATTGGTAGGAAGGACCAGGGGAGGAATTTTCGAAACAGAAAATAGTTTATGAAAATAAAGAAGACTTAATATACCTTTATTATTCATTTATTTACTAACGCGAGCTCATACGCTCAAGTCACTATCTGGGAGTTATGATGTATATGTTGTACATACACACATGATTTGAACCTCATCATGTCTGTATCTATTTCTTCCTCTCGAAGGTCGCCAGTATAAACAGGAATCGGCAAAGCAAATTGATAATGACTGTTCATCAAGTTCTATTATCAAAAGACGAATTATTATAAGGGGAAGCGTGTCAACCCCTACTCCCTTAGATGACCCCTAAGATTGATGATTTTTCTACTTTTTATGTATAAAAATTCAACTCTCAAAGCTCAAAACATGCATAACCCATTCTTCATAACTTCTTTGCCAATCTATCACTATATACAGACAGGAAACCTTTCTTTGCATTGTTCAATTTCAATTACATGCCTACATCTTTATCCGCAAACGATTAACTTATCTAATACCCTTGTTTATGTTATATTTGTTGAAACATTTCTTAGTCTTATTTCATCTCATAATTAAAAGTAAAAAAAAGTATATAAATATATATTATATATTATATTCTTTTTGAATTTCAAATTTCCACTACTAGTTGCAGAAATTTAATCTCAACATAATTTTAAGTTTACTTCTATCTTTTCTAAAAGTGATTTTAAAATAAAATCTTTATTGTTAAATATGACGAATGTTGTTTTTTTTTTTTTTTTTTT